GACGACTGGCTTGGAAGTCCTCGCAAACGCACTCAGACCCTGCCCACCTTCAGCTGCCCCCTCACCGGGATGGCAGCCAAGGCCGAAGCCCTCAACAGGTGGAGCCGCATCCAAGAGAGCACCGAGGAGAAGAGCGGGACATTGTCAGAGGACATTTTTAAAATCCTGGACCTGCGGGGTTCAGGATCTTTTTTCGGAGGGTCTCAGACGAGCAACAAGGAGGGAGAGGATAGATCCACGGCCCGAAGGGGGAGTGACAACACAGGTTCTTCCCAAAAACCTGACAGTGACTCCCGGCCGCCACAGGTGCTGTCTCCTCAGAAGAGTGTGGACACCCTGGCAGTGAGTGCTTTAGGTCAGCAGGTCAACAGCAGGTCAGAACAGAAGAAAGACCAGCAGCAGCCTGTAAACAGGTGAGTTCAGGCCTCATCAACCATCCCATGTCATACACACTAATAAATACAACTTTTAAAGATACTCTTTCATTCTTGAACAATGTCAACTGTCATGGACTGGATCATAAAAAGTAGCTTTTGTTTTTTTTCCAGCTCAACTACCTAATCAGTGTTTGTAGGTTGTGAGAGTTTTTTCTAAATGCATTGTTATACAACACTTAGAACTTGAGCAGGAGCCTGTAAGCAGTTAGTGTGTCAGTGTTTTGACATAATGCAACAAATCACTGGCCCACAATCCATTTAATACAACTTGATTCCCGGTAAGTTGATTTACGTTGGGAACAAGTGCAGCGTGTTTTGACAACATGTAAACATGTCTTTGCTGCGACAAACACCAGGATGTAAATTGTTTCCAGAGAGTTGGACTTTGAAGAATGTGTCTCTCATTGTCTCTCACAGTTTGCAACAGGAGAACGAAGAGCTGAAGGCCACTGTGGCAGAGCTCCAGTCTGCTCTAGAGGCAGAGCGCCGCCGTGTGGCCGCTCTGGAGATCTGCCTAAAAAACGCAGAGCGCAGTCGAGATGAGGCCCAAAGACGCAACAGTGAGCTGCAAAGAGACATTCAAAAGTTCCTCACGAGAGATGCTCAAGCTCCTACCTAAAACCATTCAGTCTGGTATATGGATTTTCGACGACGTTAACTTCAACAGTACTCATTTCACAGGAGCTGCTTCTGGAAAATACCGTTGTCTTCATCTGATGCTGGACTGTCTCCATTCAAGCTTTGTTTGGTCCTGAAGTGAAATTATTGACTCATTTGTTTGTGCCTGTGAGGAAAAAGTCAAGTTGAGAAGAGATATAAATATCGCTATTTACATTAGAGACTTTAAACACAAACCTGCTCTTTCACACAGCAACAGTCATGTCACTGTGTATGAACTGCCTTGATCTGGTAGAACATACAGAACATACAGAGAAGAAAGCACACTTGGAATGAATGAGTTATTTACATGGAAATGCAGCACAAGATCAGAGGACAACTGGACTATATATTATAAATAGTGGACAATGCAAATATTCTGTGTCATATGGAGGTCACCATTTAATGCATCATTTGTGTGGTAAATTAATAAAAAAAATTCAAGTGTTTTTGTTGATGGACAAAAGATTTTTTTTTTTACGACAGATTATCTGACACATACCACGTTTGAGTGACAACAGATGGTAGATGTAGATCAAGATGTAGATGGCAGCCTCTTCGATTGTTGCTGAGTGACTTTGGCTACTCAAGTGAATGCAGTCATTAGAACCACGTCCATAGCTAAAAATCATATAACTTCCTATATATTCCTCCAAAAATGCAGTTTGTTTAAACCTACACTAATCACTTGTTTTTATTTATCAATTGATATTGTAAAAAAAATTGAGGTGTCACTTGTCGTAGCAAACCTGTTTAAATTATCACCTGGTTAGATCCCTTTAGTTCAGAGGCATAGAGCATTACAACACATTGTTTTGGATGTGGAGCCTGCAAATTTAATGATTTGGTTCAGTCTGCCATCATGTTTCCATCAGCAGGCAGTTGTTTTCATCTTAAATCCCATAAAATATATTATATGCTGCCTACACAGCAACACAGGAAAGTTAGGGATTAATTGGTGAACATAACTGCGCATTTAGCAGCTAAAAAAAGCACATATTTCCCACAGGAGTCAGTAAAGACTGCATCAGAGTTAAAGCTGAGGTAGGCAGAAATCTGGAAAAGGCAACAACAAAAAAGAAAAGAAAAGAAAAACAAATAAAAAGAACCACTCCAGAATTTGAAAATCCTGTCCTTTCTGCAGCTCTCCCCTTTCTGTTCTAATCCCGTCCCACCAGACAAGCACCAGCACATGCATGTGCTTCATTTACACGAGCAGCTCAAATTTAATTGTAAACATGAAAATAATCATGAAACAAAGTTAGCCATATTTGCAGACTTTACCTGAACGCAAACCTATTAACAACATTTGAAAACAGACTGTATGTAAAGATAAAGTATCACCCATAGGTTTCCTGCAGAGCGGGTTCAAAGCTCAGTTGTGGTGGTCTCGGCCGGTTCCCTCTTGGCAGTGCCTGACTCCTCCAAACTCTTTCCTAATGCAAAAATGAGCAAAGAGGTAAAGAGTGATTGAAACTGAGATAGGCCACGCAAATGTTTGGGTCTTGTACTGTCAGATGATAGTATATCAACCTGTCCCTCACAGTGGCCTCAATTCTGTACAGTTAAAAAAAACAACAAAAAAAACAATAATTAATACAAATTTCTGTGAAGTTGGGCATTTCAGCATGAAGGTCAGTGGGGATTGACATACTTTTGAAGCTAGATTCAAGGAACTGCAGTTTTTGCTAAGTGCACATTGGCTTAATTTGTCAGCCCCATAGGTTGCTAGTTGCATTTAACATAGCAACTCAATGCCTGCTAGGATGGTAAATCTACCTCCACAACCTAACCAACCACTACAGCACATTTACATTGCAGGAAAATAAGGTTACAAGTTCACCTGTCCAGGAGAACAACAGCAAGCTTGACTACTAGTTCTGTGAGTATGCTTCACAGATATTGACACGTTTCACTCTTTTTGGTAAGTCTGTCTTCTTTTTTTGGTTTGCATTGCATTATTGCCTAGCTCAGCTTTAAACAGACACTAAATATAAGACTAACACTGATCAGGTGGTCCAGAAACATGAATGTTGCTCTCATGCAGTTGTGCTCTATGTTACTGTAATACCTTGTTGTTGCTGCTCAACTGCCTCAAACAACAGAAAAAAAGTATCAATACTGCTTTAAATGTAGCAAAATAAAAACCAATAAAACACCGGTTTCCTAATGGGAGTATTATCTGAAAGTGTGTTAGCTATCAATACATTTCCATCCATAAACATAACACTGTGGGTCAGACAGATGGAAATCATAAAATGTAGAAACTGGATACCATCACAGAACATTGTCTTTTAGAAGGTTCAGTCCAAAAATAGCAACTGTAGCCTCCATAAATCTACATTTGTTACACCCTGAGGCCCCATAATGCAGACCATATGGAGGGGTCGGACTATGTGTGCATAAGGACATTGCCACTATCAAGCCTTCGTAAGGCCGTCAGGAAGATGTGATAGTCTGTTGCAGCAGCAGTTTAACAAAGCGACAGATAACAGCACGTCTGTCAACTGTCAGCCTGGCAGATGAGTGACAAAGGCAGGAAAAGCTCATTCTTTCCCATCTCTGTGACGCACCAAAATCAGGAGTGTATCTGCAGGTCACACAAAGAAGCTCAGGAATGAAGGACAGTTGTGTAGTGGGATGAGGGTTCAGGTGACGAATGGAGAAGTTATTCAAATCTGTGTGAGCCATTAGTGCTGTCGTCAGAACCCCTCAGAGCTGATATGCTGCTTTTCTGTGTAAAGTATGTCCACACATTCAGTGAAGACTGGTGGATGGTGAAAGTCTTCTTCATGAGTCACCCAGTTTCCATAAGTATCACCTTTGACTTGGTGCTGTCTCCCTAATCGAGAGGAATGTCTCTATAAACTTTTGTCTGTTCCTGATGAAACCTTGTGAACGTGCCTCTTCTCTTCTTGAGTTGCCTCTTGTGCCTTGTTAAGCCATTTCAAATATGTTCACAGTAGAGGAAGTACATTTCAGCAAGCAAAACAGGGGTGTGTACGTCACTGAATGAACAAGAATGATAATTTTGTACTACTCTGGTGTTTTCATGAGCTGCCCAATCTTCAGTATCTTTCATCCTCTATCATTAAGGCCTCACACCTCATTGCATTTCAATTTCATTTGGACAAGTCTTGGCTAATAGATGCATCCTGTTACATTCAACAATATCAATAGACCTGTGGTGTATTTTGTCAAAAAGAAATGGTCAATGGAGCAGCTCGCAGAACTCCACCATTTACAAAGCAAATAAACAAATGTAGAATATCAACCCTGGAGCACCACCCAAACAAAATAGCTCTTCCACAAGGAAGAGGCTACAGGACAGTGTTTACAAAATCCTCATTAAGGATTTGTGAGATAACACATGCTCATGTGCATCACACAGAGTTGAAGGAAAGGCAGGCACGCACACACACACCAGCAAAGAGACCATAAGCACTGAGCAATGCAGACCCACCATATCATAGATAAGGGACAGAAAGAAAGAGCTGGAAAGAGAGGGCAGAGCACAGAGAGAGACTGACAGAGGAGAGAACACAACAGAGATGAGTCGGACAGACGAAGACAAGCCTCGGCCACCCTGTCACCGGAACTACAGCCCTGTCACAAAGGACATCAAAAGGTGTGCATGAGAATAAATGCTGTGAGATCTGGAAGGAGGGCATCAGGAATACAAACGTCTGCAGAGAGATTTGTCACATTTGTCAGTCAAGGGTCAACAACGCTTCTAAGCTCCTGAACCAGAACTTTTTTTAGGCTACAGATGCATTGACAGCCACTTAAATTATCCTTTGGAATAAGGCGTTCAGAGATTATAATCATTTTCTCTTACTGTTGCATGAACTTATCCATTGACTACCCCAAAGGGTATAAACTAGAGTACTGCAGATTATTTCTCCCATGGCGAGCATTTGGATCTCTCAACTGGGAACCATTTGCAGCTCCAAGACGTTGTTCTTGCTGTTTTCCGTCCTGCTGCTCCAGGAGCCTCTCTGTGGAGAGGGCAGCCCCATCTCCAGCACGCATCAGAGGCATCGTCCTGCTCCAGGGCTGGGAGACGGGCATGGAGGGGTGGTGGATCTGTCACTGCTGGAGCAGGACAGCAACATGGACATGCAAAGCCTGCTGGAGAGCCTGAAGGAGCAGTTTCTACGGACTTTCAACCTGTCTGGTTTGGGTCCTCCTCCCCTGCCTCCTGGAAGTACTCGAGAGGAACCACCTGAGTACATGATGGAGCTCTACAATCGCTTTGCTAATGATCTGTCTGCCATGCCGACTGCCAACATCATCCGAAGCTTCAAAAATGAAGGTACAGCTCTGATCTATATAATTATGCACCGGTACATCAAATATGTTCATTTAAAAAAGGGAACTGCTTTGTCTTTCTTTATTGCTGCCATGTTCTTTTTTTTTTTTTTTTTCTTTTTCTTGTTTTTTTTTTTTATCAATATATATCTGTGTGTTTTTCTGATCTGCAAAGCCAGGGTATGCAGCAGTAAAATTGAGAACAAGGGTCTTCATTCATACATGCACAGTTTTTATGTAAACTGTTGCTCTAATTATGTACAAATGTTGAGCTAATAAAATCCAAGCCACAGTAATGTTCCTATTCCTTGCTACTTCTCTGTGCAGGGTTATGTTCATAGCAAAACGCTTTTCTTACTCTGGCATGGGTCATGGGATTGCAATAAAATGAGCAGTGGTAGCATGTTTCTCTGTTTTGGGATAGGATTAGGCTAAGACAACAACGATGCAAAACAGACAGGAGTGTAACTTTGACAATTTGTTTCTCTTCTCTAGATTCATCTCCCAGTACTGTGGGTGTTGGAGGGGTGAGGCGCCACCCACTCCTCTTCAATGTGTCAGTCCCGCATCATGAACGCATCACAGCAGCTGAGCTTCGCCTCTACACCCTAGTCCAGACCGACCGCCACCTCTATGCTGGTGTCGACCGCAAAGTCACTATCTGTGAACTGGAAGTGCATGATTGGGATGACAACATGACTGCTGTGAACGCCGGGAGAGGGGATGTATTTACAGGGGGAGAAGAACGGATAGAGCTGGTGGAGTTGGCTTCACGCCAGGTCTACGGCACAGATAACGGCTGGGAGGCTTTTGACCTCACTGCTGCTGTCCAGCGCTGGCGCAAATCTGACCGTGGCACCACACATCGGTTAGAAGTGCACATTGCCAGCATTGCTAACGATGACAGTGTTCAAGGTATGAAAGAAGACAGCAAAGACAGGAGTCCGACTGAAGGGGACATGAAGATTGACACCAGTCCTGAGGAGAAACACAAACCCCTGTTAATTGTTTTCTCAGATGATCAAAGTAGCGATCACCGTGACGACAAACGTGAGCTAAACGAGATGATCGACCATGAAACCTCTAATATGGTTCTGCAGAACGACTTGGGTACAGGCCTAAATGGGCTGTGGGGGGAACTGGGAAGGGACAGGGATGAAGGAGATGAAGAAGGTGAGCCAGGTGAAGAAGACCTTATCCAGATGCGCTCCAATCTAATCTATGACACGGCATCCCGCATTCGTCGCAACGCTAAGGGAAACCACTGCAAGAAACAATCGTTGTATGTAGAGTTCAAGGACATTGGATGGGACAGTTGGATCCTGGCACCCACTGGTTACGATGCCTTTGAGTGCAGTGGTACTTGTTCCTTCCCACTGACGAAGCACGTCACACCTACAAAGCATGCCATAGTTCAGACATTGGTCAACATCAACAGTCCTCAGAAAGCAGCACGAGCGTGTTGTGTGCCCACCAAACTGGACCCCATCTCCCTGCTGTACCTGGATGACACAGGTGTGGTCACCTACAAGTACAAGTTTGAAGGCATGGTGGTGGCTGAGTGTGGCTGCAGATAGTCCATACTTTCAGAGTTAAACTCTTTATTAAGTCTTACAATAGGAGGAAGGATGCAAAACTAACAATAAGCTGAAAAAAAGAGATGAGTCAAGAATGCCTTTAACAAAGAGAGGGACAGTTGTTTGAATCTCTGAGACTGGACGTGTGCATTCATGATTCATGCAACTATGTGCACTCCAAATGAATGAGTATGGACAGATATATATTTTGTACCATAAGACAGAAATGAGTATTTCATCTTAAATGGCAAAGACATAAATATCAGCTGCAAATAGGAGAGATGTGCAGCAGACCTACAGTCAGCAGGTTACAGGTATTGATGCAAAGGTATGTCCTCATCCTCACAAGGCTAAAGAGAGGCACAAGGTTTTCCAAAGAACCAAGTCCATGCTACAGTCTGTGCGGCCTTGTGGGAACTAGTGGGCAGTTGTCCCCCTCCTTCTCCTTTCCCCTGACATCTGTCTTCCTCTCTACTTATCTCTGGCCTCCCTACTCGATGCAAACACTAATCAGCACTTCATGTGCCTTGGCGCAGTGAAATGACCTCCCCGAGGCAACCTGACAAGACATGAACTCTCCAGGCCCACCTCCTGCCTCCTGCAGCCTCCTGATACGTAGGCGCTGTGCAGGGGTTCTAGCGGCAGGGTTATCTATCCCAACCCTGTTTCCCACTTCACATGCCTCTTTTCCACTCCCCGAGCTACAGTGATAGCAAGGTGTTGGGGGTTGAGAAACATGTATGCCACCACTCAGGCTTGGAGAACTTGAAGCCATTCTGGGCAACTTTTGAGATGGTGGGATGGGGGAGTGGGACAGGACAAGTGGGGGGCTGGGGTTGTCCACATTCTTAGGAAACAATCTTAACTGACTCAACTCACTGACCCAGCACCATGTGCCCCCAACATATCTCCACCTCAGTTGAGTCATCCATCACTATTTTGGCAAAAATGGCCATTTTGGAACTTTATTGACTCTCTGGAACTCAAGAGTGGAAAAAGGGCCACCCTGTTGCATTATGGATACCCAAAGAGAATACAGTTATTTTCTTTTGTTATAAGCATTTTGATACCTCTGCTGCTTGTGTCAAATAAAAGACTATTTATTGTTCTAATTTATTGATTTTTGCAAGAGTAGATAACTATATATGTACATTTGTAAGTTAGTGTAGAGCAGTGATGACAATGCATTTGCAGCACAAAGTGAAATTTGTTGGGAAGAGAAATGATTGCTAAAACAATAAAGAACAGTTACTTAACAAATCCTAAATCCATAGTCTGTCTAACTACGAATAATCCTTCATCCACACTGTTTCACAAAGTTTGCACGCTGTGTTGTTAAAAGGATTCTCCCATATCAAGTGGAATGTAAATCTATTGTTAAAATTACAATTATCAGTGAAAGCATCTTGGTCTCTTAACTTTCATTTTCAATATTTTAGGATCACACAATGTTTCAGTAATATCAGTATCAGCTCACAGGTCATAGTTCATGCATGACACACAAACAAAGAGCCGTGGGAAAATGAGTGGAAGGCCTGCTAATGAACAAAAGGAATGGCCTGCTGCTTGCATGGACATTGAGAAGGCTGCAGACTGCTGACGGACAACCTGGTTGCGAAGAGGAAATGTGAGCAACAAGTAAAAAAAAGTTCTAAACTCCACTATCTTTTTTCTGTTCACACTACCTTTTCTGTGAATGTTAAACATAATTGCAACAGCACTGTGCCGTTATTTTCATGTACCGACGCACACTTAAGATGTAAATAAAGACTACAAATCAAACTTGTGCTCAAAATATGTAGCGCTTTCTATCGTTCTTTCAGTTTTTAGGAAAAGTATATCACAATAACAGTCGATGAAAGGTGTCACGATTGTGCTCTGTTTGGGTAAATTACACTGTTATAGCTGCAGAAAAGGAAAAAAATCTGTCCAGTGAGATCTGGATAGTGACGTAAATTTGTTCTGATTGGTTGGTGCAACAAGACAAAACAGTGCACACCGACACACCTTAGCAGCCAGCTTGGCAGATGTGCCAAGTGTGTGGTATCTTTTTTTTTTTTTTTTTATCAAACTCTGGCCAAGAAAGCAAAATTTGTGTTTCTTTTAAAAGGATCTTGCAGACCACAGCCAATGTTGTTAAAGAGATTACACTCACTAATTTGGTTCATACAGTAAAATGTGAGTGAGATGCATGTCTGGGGGTCACTAGAGCTTATGCAATCATAGTGCCAGTGCTACATTGTTTCAAAAGAATGATTATGTAATGCTTCTGCTGCTTTTCTTAACAAAATGGCAAGAAAAAATCTATTTATGCTATTGCAAAGCTTCCTAAAAAGCTGCCTTTGGCAACAGCCCACTAATGACAAGTGCACTGAGATATTTCAGAGAGCAAACAAGTCGGGCACTGACTGACCTCTCATCTAAGATGAGAGCAGAGGTCACCTAAAAATGGTTGCAGACCAAAGAGCAACAACCTCAGACACTGTGACAACAGGCGGTCTCCGCTATGTAAAGCTCACTAATTGAATATTTACAGAATGGTGGAAGAAATATGAATCTGGCCTTTGTCACTAACTGGCAAACTTTCAGGGACTATAATGCAATGGGAAGTGTTTCGTGTGATAAGGACTGCTGGAGAGCACTCTGTGATTTTTCTCTCTCTTCTTTAGATATAAAATCACTGGACAAAAGAATTTTAATCTAATTGTTTTTACGCTGCAGTTTGTGAAGGACTTAGCCTACGTGATAAATTTAGGAGTGCACTAACAACAAGTAAACAATCTGAACTGTTCCCAGTGTACACACAGTTCAGAGCGCTTCCAATCCTGTAATTCTCCACTGACTGACATCATGACGCTGGCTGCTGGACATCGACGTGTGCCTCGCTGTGAACGTGTGTTTTGGTGTGTGTCACCCAAAGCGGCATGACTCGCCCATACTCTGACGTGGGGTCTGTAATGGGGCCTGATTGTTTCCGTTTTGGGTCACATGTTTATCACTGCATCTCTTGGCAGCTCCACCACCCAGAGCTCATCTCCCACTCTGTCCTCAAGTCTCTTCATTTTCTGGGAAAAGCACAGTTTGCTCAACCCACTGCTTGATGTTAATATACAAAAGGACCTCCAAATGTTCAAACACCTTTTAACAATTTGCATTTGTGGTTGCGAAACTTCTTAAAGCCCATTGGAAGAGTCTGTAATGAAAACCAGACGTTCAGTAGTTCTGGCCAAGTAATACAACCCTGAGAAATAATCTCTCAGCAAAATGAGCTCAGCAAAAGTCAGAACAAACGCAAGCATGCAAGTGTCATTCTTCATTAAAATAATCACTTTCACTCCCCAGAAACTCTCAAAAATAGATTTTAATCACCATTAATAGGTAGACAGCTGCCTGTGAGAAAAACCTAACTACAGTGTTGCAAAATGATGTTCAAGCAGAGAATCCTGCTTATGTAAAGCAATGAAATACAAACTTGTTATCACTCTGAAGTGATTGTATTTGGCTCCCTGTTGAGTCTTTAAGTTTCTCTTGTGTTTCTCAAGCACATGAGTGTCCAAGTTGTGCAACTCTCTCTCCTGCTCCTGTCTTTTCACTCAGGCTTCTAATCCTGGATCATCAGCTGTCCTGGAAACTTTCTTTCTCTTTGCCCTTGGGCTGTGCTTTACTCTCAATGTTTTGGATCCAAAACGGGATTTCTCTCCAACAGATTCAACAGATTTCCTCTTCTCTGTCTTCATCTCTCTCCCTTCTTTGTGTTCGTCTCCCTCTCCTGGACATGTGGATGGAATGCTCGAGTTTTGCCTTGGGTGTGTATGTGTAACTTTATGCTTTCCATGGCAGTGAGGAGGTCATGTGGCTCACGTGTTGTCTGTTTGCCGACATCTGACATAATCCTGGACCGTAGTCTTCCTGTACACTGATCGGTCACAACATCAAAACCGCTGACAGGTAAAGTTAAAAACACTGATTATCTGTATTCAATGCTATGTTCTCCTAACATCCATGTCGTGGCTTCTTTGTCACAGAGGCTGCAGCTTCCCACAAAACTGCTCAGAAAAAGTTTAAGGAAAAACTCCAGGGCACAGACCTCTAATCCAAACTTTCCAGATTTAAATTAGATCAAAGATGTGTCGGAACAAACCCGCTCCACTGGGACCCAACCCCAAAACCCACAGGACACAAAGGTCAACGTCTCTGTGCCAAACACCAAAGAACACCTCCAAAAGCCCAGTGTCCATGCGACGGGTAAGAGCTGTTCTGGCAGCACAAAGAGGACCTAGACAAGTTTAAGCAAGTTTGTTTTAACCTTGTGCCAGATCGGTACACATTTGCAAGCTGTAATTTTGTCGTTCTGGCTGTCAGCACTAAATCTGCTGTTGCTTTCTTTACACACAACCTCTATTGCATAACTACGATATTTTTCTGTAGCCCCTTGAGGCAAATATGCGATTCGTGATATGGGGCTATATAAATTGGCTCGACTTGACTTGACACTGATGTAGTGCAGGAAGCTTGAGCAATTTCATGCTCTTTGTTACCCTTCCTCAACAGGAGAGGTAGTTGCAAATCCTCTGGTATATGATCCTAGCAGAGTTCCACAGAAAATAAACCTAAACAATGTTGTTGATACTAGATTTTATGGCTGTTGATGAGATCTCTGCGGTAAAAAAAACAAAAACAAATAGAAAGACTACAACTGCAAAAACTGATGGAAAGGTGTCTCATCTCTTAAAACATGTGGCTTCGATTACTCGAAACCTAGTGGGACCAGTTTGCAGAGGACAGACAGCTGATACAAATCACGAACCAAAGCAGCTCAGCAGAAACCTGAACCCGAGGCAAACAACCAAACACCAGGTCTGTGTTCCGCCTTTATATACTTTCTCATACCAGTCAAGTCCTGTATCTGTAAAACTTTTAACGAATGGCCAAACATAGCATTGAAATAAACAGAAAATGTGTTGCAAACTGTAGAGCATGTTTCTAATATACATTATTCTTGAATTACAGGTGCTTCTACTGGAATGTCTGTATTTTGTATGAACTAAGTGCTGAGCTGTCTAGACTCTTCACACCTAATGACAGACCGATATCAAAGAATTAGTGTAATGTTAAAGGAATAATTTGGCATCCTTCATTCAAGTTGGACTCCTGCTCTCAGTAGCTTCATATGTATTGATCACATGTCCACAGTGTCAATCGTCTCCCTGCAAGAAAGTGAAAAGTGTACTTTCCCAAAATGCCAAACTTTTCCTTTAACTGCAAATACGATCAAAATAAATCTGCTACGTGCACACAATATCAGCTGCTTTACGCCCACAAAGGCACTTTGAGAGCATGTAAATCTATCCACACCCATGTTAAGAGGGCACATCAGTTATACATTAGTTCAGGCAATTGTTCATTGTCTTGATGTTGACTCCTATCGAGCTGCATTCACTTGCTCTGGCATAAATTGTGCGCCTAAGCTTCCAACTCAAGAGAACCACAGGAACTACGTTGTAAATACTGTACGTGAGCATGACGTCTGTCCATGGACTTTGTGAATTTAAGACATTAAACCATACAGCATGTAGTTCCTTAATGAAATTCTTCAGATTTCAGTCATTTTGTGGCCACAGATGTCAAACTGTCTTCATACTGCAGGATATGTGAATGAAATGTCATTTGCTGGTTTGCTTTAAAAAGTGAGTTCACATGTACTTCATGAAATGAAAAGCTGATTAGAAACAGTCAGACACTGCAGAAAATATCCTTCACTGGATCTTGACAGCACTTGCAAGTGTGCAACAGTATTGTTATTCCGGACATTAATGCGGCACTGATGCCCGGTATGTGCCAAAGAGCTTGTCCCAGTGGGTGAAGTAGGGGGCGTAGTTGCCACCTTGCAGGCTATGGTGGGCCTGGTGGAAGGGGGCTCCTCCCAGACAGGGCAGCAGTCTGTGCAGAGCCCAGGGCAGGTTGTAGCCACAGTGGTCCTCCACCGCCAGCCAGCTGTTAAGGAGATGGAAGAGGACTTCGCTGAGAGGATGGCAGCCCACTATAGAGACGGTGCTCAGAGCCAGCAGCAGCAGCGACAGCAGCTCAGCCGAACTGGAGTCCTGCGCCACCAGGGCGAAGGGAACGCGGTGCTGGTGGTGCATCTGGTGGATGCTGCGGTACAACCAGGGAACCCTGATGAGGAACACACACACAGCTGCCTCTGTTTAACCTGTTACTGTAATGGAAAATTACTGGAATCGTCTCAGGATGGCATCATATTTGTGTGGACTGATCAACAGAACTTTTTTCCTCCGTGTTTCTGCTATTACTGTTACGAACAATTACTAGTAATATGCATTTTATTAAAAGACAGCTTTCAGGATGCTGGTTAAAGGGACATGCAACAGATTTTACATATGAAGAACACATGATGTCCTGGTGATGTCATGGTGATGGCATCTGTATAATGTCAGGTTACAACCTAAAATTCTGAACAGATGTTATAAATGCAGGTTGGAAGACGTGCTCATTTACTAGTATAAAAACCATAAAGTTACATTATTGCAGTGTTCAGAGCTATGAAGTTCACAAGAACCAAACAATCAGAATATTGTTGCTTCACTGCTGATCTTTATCTCTTTAATGTTACCTCAACAAGTCTGCCAGTTTAAAGGCAGTAAACTCTGAATTACTCGAATGCCACTTTAAAACAGTTTAAATTAAATCGTAAATACTAAACTTTGACCATCAGTCTTTGTTATTAGGTCTGTCCTATGTTAGGACTCTGTGATCAGGTTTACCACTACAGGAGTCTGCTGGAGGGTGTTGGGTTGTTGTGTGGATTCATCTCACCTGGTCTGACTGGATAAGATGGAGGCAGTCAGCCAGTCTGTATCTCTGCTTGTTTGGTTTTGTTTGTTTATGTTATTTCCCATTTCACTCTGAAGAATAAACTTATTTGCAATTCCAGCTCATGCATTGTCTCCTTCTCCTTGTCCTTGCATGCTGGGTTGTGACAAGTTAAACAGCTTCATTTTAACTGCAATCCAGTTAAAACACCTCACAAGTAGAGTACCTGAGTAAATGAAATTAGCATCTTTCCATCACCGATTTATGTGGAAATCATCGGGACAATCAAAGAAATATGAATATTTTTGAACTGAAGGTAATATTTTTCTCAACTATGTACAGGCTCTTTAATATTTTCAATTCTGGGAAGGAAGGAAAGGACTCTAAAAGTGGAAAACTAAAACCACCCAGTACAGCATCACTGTTACTATAAAGCCCTGTTACCTCAGAAGGGATATCATGTTAACTCAACAAAGGTGTGTGCTGCTCACCTGTGCATGCAGTAGTGCCACATAAAGTAGAACATGTCAAACAGTAGAAAGCAAGCCAAAACTTCCACAAAGAGCTGCCAACAGGACGGAGCCAGCTCTGGAAAAGTGTTGCTCCGCATGCTCTGGAAGAGCGCTGTGGCGGGCAGGACGACGGTCACGTATTTGTACAAAACCCTCCAAAAACACTCAAACCAGCGCCAGAGGGACGGCGGAGGACCCGAACCCGAGGCGATCCTCCAGGAGCGGACCCGCTGACAGACGCTGCCCAGCGCGTCCAGCGCCAGGAACGGTGCGCAAAAGAGGACGTGCGTCAGGAAGGCGCAGGACGCGGGCAGGTAAGGAGAGTGTAAGATCCTGTACTGTCCAACTCTCACACACTCCCAGAGCCCCTGGAGGACAGGCGCTGCTGTTGCGTTCATCACTGCGGTCACCTTCTCACTACAGTCTCCTACATCTTCTCACACGAGCTGACGGCTAGATCCACAGTGGTTCTCAGATTCTACCTCCGCTAATGGCCCGCTGTCTTCATAGCCGAGTCACGCAGGAGAGCTTTCTCATCACAGGGTAGTAGGAGGGGCCCCCACCCACTTCTTGTATTTGGTCGAATTACAGAAAGTCAGTCTGTGCTACAGCGTAAGTGAAGGTCAAATCACAGAGAGCAGCTTTACGCACACAGAGCACCTGTACACAAGGCTGGCTCCTGGAAACGCAGGGGAAGCCCGTTTTCAGATACAGAGGCTGGTTACACAAGTGAATGTAGAGATCTAAAGACCGTGAGTCACATTTCCTAGAAATGAGGGATTTTCCAGGAATATGTGGGATTTAATTTCTATTGATCCTAAAGAGCAATTCCAAACTTCAGAGGAAACGAGCGAAATAAGACACAGAAATATGTTCAACCTTTTCATTTTCCCTTTCCTTTTTTGCAAATAAAAAGCTTGTGTCAGTTTCATTTTTTTAATGTATAAAAACTTCTAATCAAATTATGGTCAACCAACAGAACTACATTGAGAAGTAATATTGCTTTTATTCTACAATTTAAAGGTATTTTTTAATCCTAACTGTCCACAGTTATCCAGGTTTGTTTAGACTGATGAGGGGACTTTCAAATGCTAAGCTCAAGGTGAAGAAAACTTAAGTTGTTATGCCGGTTCCATTAAGTTACCTCAACTTGAATTTAGTTTTAAGTCAGCTAACCGAGAAAGTTGACTTTAAATGACATCCAATAATAAGTTGATGTAATTCCCAACATCACTGTACAAACTCAACCTAATGAAGTCATGTTTACATCCCAGGAGGTTAATCTAAATCAGTAAATTAGATTTTTTTTTTAATGTTGCAACTCTTTATTTAATTAAGTGGTGAATAGGTCTCGACTTTTTTCTTTTTTTAAATATGGAAACAGTTTCTTAGAAATCAACCATTTGGCACCAGTTCTAAATACAGACAGTGACTTCATACCTGCAGACAAATGGCACCATGTGTACTGGTAGTTCCACACACAGTCCTGCATACAAAAAGACTATTTTGGCTAAATCTCTACAACAAGATGGGATGAGGCATTAAAATTAAACTATCTACAAGTGCTGTACTTAAGATAAAAAAATAAAAACAAACCAACTAACAAAACAAAACAAAAAACAAAACAAAACATGTACATTGCTTCTATTTTCTACTTTCTTGTTCAGCTCTACTTCACTTCAGTCTTCTTACTCAATTGCATTTGTTTAACAGCTGCAGTTTGTTAATTTGAAGATGAAGACCCACAACAGCAGAAAAATTTGACCTACACATCCAAAACAGCAAAATTAGGCCAATAATGTAATATAATGATGTTATATAATTATATTATAATAGTATAAAATAATGATGCAAATAGTATAATTTAGTATAGTACAGTCACAGGGGTAATTTTCTCGATTATGTCTGAGCGTACTTTTACTTAGAAATAGTGACAAAACCATTAGTCATTAAAGAGGTGATATTAGGTTTGTGTAGGAGTAGAATGTAACTAAATACATTTACCTAAGTACTAACTACAATTTTAATGTGCTTGCACTTTGTAAGTCCAGACTTGTGGATCAGAACTTTTTTTTTTATTCCCATTAATGTCCATTCCGTTTGTTTCTTCCATTAATCATATGACGAGCCCTCAGATTTATCTGCTGTTTCTTAATATAAAACTGGATATAAAGTAGTTTCAACCGGCAGCAGCTCCAACAGTTACATGCTGGTGACGCTCTGATGCTTCTCTATTAATAATGTAATGTATAACAATAAATCCATCAGAGGGACCAAACCAGGACTTTTACTTTAATACTTTAACTACATTTAGCTGTTAATACTTACGTACTTTTACGTAAGCAGGACTTTTCATGCAAGACCTTTACTTGTAACATATTGCTAGACTACAGTATTGGTAGCTAAATACTTCTTTAATCAATACGGTTGTGCCTGTCAGTAGATAACATTCCAGTTACGTTAATCTGGAAGGAGTCATGAAGAAATTGGTCAATGTGTTGATTCCCAGACATCCAGTCATTACACAAGCATTTGATAACGTGGTATTTCTGCCCCACTTCCCCACTAAGTCACTATTTGTCACGAAAGCACATGTGAATGCACAAATACAATTACTGAGGTCACCCCTGATTCATTCGAGGGTACTCAGGATTTTTTCTGCTTCTTCCCGTTAAATGCAACTCTCTGGAAACTTCTTCCAAATTCAACATGACACAACTACCCAATAAAAAGAATTCTGAACCGTTCTCTCCTTTAGTTATAATCACTTTATTTAAAATAAAATGTTACCAAAATCTCTTGCCCATTATCTATATAAAATGTTAGGATTTGTGATAAGAAACTCTCAATAAACGGTTAGTATCATATAAATATTACATAAGAGTATGTTTTTTTATTTTATTTTTTTCCAAGATATTTTTTGGCCTTTTTTGGCTTTATTAGATAGGACAGAGAGAGAGAAGAAAGTGGGGGGAGAGGAATGGGGGAAGGAATCCGCAGCAAAGGATCATGAGCAGGACTCAAACCCATGACCGCTGCCTCGGGGACTACAGCCCCTATACATGCAGCGCCAGCTCAACCAGGTGAGCTATAGCGGCACCCCAAAAGTTTTTCAAGCAATAAAATGTGATGTGGAGTTATAATAGTTTAGATTTATGGAATTTATTGTATCTGAACACACCTTTATATTCCTTCAGTGAAAATAAGAAAAATACTTTACATCACATTGTACCTGTAAATAAACAACCTTCACAATGCCATTGACTTCTTAAAGAATAAAACACAGTACTTTATTGTCAAAAAACAATAACTTGATTGTACATTCACAATTGAAATCAGTGCAAAAAACATTTGCCTGTTAAGTCACTATCAGTCTGAATTAATCTGATAAATAGGAATGAAAATATTGACATCTGGAGGTCACTTTGAGAGCAAACTGCTCCACCTTTAGAGAGTGCTGCTAGTAACAGGTGAAATAATAAGTTTATTTCTATGTAATGATCAGTGAAAGAGGCATTGGGATACAGCAAATTCAGAATGAAATCATTTAGCTTTGCAATAAAGAAACACTTCCTCACTGTAGCACTGTGTTGGCATGAGAGAAAAAGAAACATACCATGTTCTCAGAAACAACACAAAACATGTCCCACGCCACACTTGGTACTATCATCTTTGCCTTGAGCTACCAAATTAAATGATTCAGCTTTTGATGTTAAGTGGGTCTTTAGAAAACACATCATTTGGTCATTAACTCACAGGCAGCCTGCGTCACCCACTGCAGATGTAATGCCACACAAAGAAAATATCCCTACCCGTCGGAGAACACACCAAACAGAACATGAGTTGGAAAAGACACACTAAATGGAGTTGGGTGTTTTTGGTCCTCATCCTGTGGAAATTTCTAAAAGATGTCCACAGTAAATCATAGACTCCATCAGAATACTTTGATGCACACAGATTGGTCAAACTCCTCCTCAGTAGTAACTGCCTTCTACAGTTCAGACCATTGCTATAGTGCACAGCCTCTGACTTCTTCTTCCTCCTACAGGTCATTCATGCTGTCAAAGGCGCCAAGGCAGTTCAATGCACATGTCCTGTAAAGGTTCTTAAAGGACATGCATGAAAACAATACATTAAAAATATCTGAAAATTGTCTTATGAAAGGCTGATGGGTCATTCCATATAAAATCAATCAAATTCCCACCTGACCCAATCACAATCAGTTGACTTATTATGTACAATACTTTAATATATTTATTGAAGCCATGCAACATTTTACCTTCATACTATGAATATTTCCAGAGTTGCAGTCCCTCATCATCAGTACATCAGGCTGGATTTAAATTTTGCGCTTTTGATTTTGTTACATTTTCCAGCATGTTTGAGCCTTTATCACTTCATATGTACAAATATATCACGAAACGCGAAACTTTCAATGACAAACACTTCTAAACTCGGTTCAAAACTGCAACCAAATCAATTTTACACCCACTACAGGTGTCACAAAGTCAAAATCCCTATTTTGGTCAACACAACTTTGACCGTCTATTGATGGAGTCACATCATGGGATAGTAACATTTCTAATATTATCATGAGGGATGAGTGGTTGGTCAAAACAAGTTATGGAATATCAAAAAGTCTAATTTTTTTATCTACATTTGACACCAGGCTCATCTTCCAAATTTACTATATTGGGTTTGTGATTCAGAAAATATTTAGCATGATGATAAGTTTTGTCTTTTGTTTTGACTTCATTAAATACACTAAAGCTATCGCAGAAAAAAACTGAGGTGATTGTGAAGGGTCAGGTGGGAGGTACTGACTGATGACCCTGAAGTCACATGTTTTCACTTTGGTTAGGAAAAATACCAAAATACAGAAAAGCTATTTTTTGTGTTATAGTCTGATCCAATCTGTTTAAAATGAGCACTGCCTTGAAAAAGAAACTAAACAAAACAGACACTAACCTTAAACAGTCTCAAACTAAATGTACAGGGTGAAAAAAAAAAGTGCTACACACATATACAGAAAAATGATGTACAGCTTTGTACAGCTGCACAAATTCAGTGACTATTCAGTAGAACCCCTCTGCTCAAAAGAAGTTCTACAAACCATACAAGAAGCAGTGATATTACATGAGACGGTGAGCAGCTACCACAGTACATTCATGATCCCTGTGTTTTGTCTACATTTGTGGTCAGGGCCCATATTTTTCAAGCAGGTCAGAGAGAAATCACAGCAAGCCCAGAATCTCTGGAGTGACATTTGGTGTTTCTTTCAGGAAGTGGCAAATCAACATTTTTACTGTATAAACAGCTGCCCTGCTGGTCTTATAGAAAGTGAAACAGAAAAAAACAACAACATGGTTTCTTTAAACACATTTACTAGTTTTAAAGGGCTAGTGACCGTTCGCTAAAGTCCTCCACTGAACAGCTATTGTCCTGAAGTAGGGGGATTACGGACACGTACACAGATGCATAGTTGTTCTTATAATACTATTTAGTAGTCCACTCAGAGGACACGTTTTACAGATGAACAGCAGATCAGCATCTATGTATGCTGCGCTTACACACTACTACTGCACGTGCACGGATCCCAGCAGACGCACTAGCAGATGTAGAAAGTATTGCAATAACCTGATACTTTGCACCGAAAGAGATTCTGCAAAAACAAACAAACAAAAAAACCCAGCTTACTACTACCACATCTACTTTGTTTATTGGTTTACGGTAGAAATATTGAACTTGGAGAAATATGAGCTACCCCGTCCAACTTGTTATCAAAGTTGGTGTTGCCACACACAGTGGTTAGTCCTCATTCACACTACTGTTTACTAACATCACATACAAAGCATTTACCTGAAAAATCTGAACGAGTACTTTAGCTGAGAGATTTAGATTTTGGGCATAAAATTAAATATTACAGTTCTAGTTATACTAATAGTATGACAGACTGGCGACCTGTCCAGGGTGTCCCCTGCCTTCGCCCTCAGTCAGCTGGGATAGGCTCCAGACCCCCGCGACCCTAATGAGGATTAAATGGTGTATAGATAATGGATGGATACTAATAGTATGAGGATGGCCTCTACACTGCAATACAACACCAATTCTGCCTCTTTGTTCATGTCTTGTAGGTAAATCATTAGCTTGTAAGTTGTTGATTGTTTGCTGGGATTTGCAGCTTTAGTCTCTTTAATCAATTTGTAGGATTCTTGTTTTAAAAGGAATCAAGTGGAAACACTAAAAAGTAAACTGGAGGCAGCATTTTCGACCAACTCACAGAGCTGATGTTAGCTTGACCTGCTAGCCACCGTGCGGAAAACAAAAATAGGCCATTTCAGCTAGTTAAAATCTTTTGTGATGTCCACCTCTGACCCATTACTTAGAAAATGACACATTTTAGGTGGTAATTCTGCCTCTGTTAACCCTGTAAACTGAATATGTGCCATGAGAGAAGTGAAAACAAACAGCAGCTGTTGCAGAGAGAGCACTTAGCGAACGGTCAATTCATGAAACAAGGACAATACAAGTGGAAAAACCATAATTTTGGATGTTGGTGACTCAATTTTATTGCATCTAAAAGCCTAATGAAGAATTTTCAGTAGTAATCATTGACATTTTTTGTTTCTTCTTTAAGTGCTTGATCAGGACGTGTTTCACATTAATGGAAAATGCAGGACTGACCAATAAGTAATGATAGATTTATGATCCGTGATGCTGTGGCTACATGGACTGGATACACAGCCCATAAAAGCCGAGTAGCAGCAAGGCCAAGTTTAAATTACTAGTGTGGCTAACTGTCAGTTTAAGGAGCTTCTCATACACCCACAGGTGATGTTATTTTTTCTAATTTACAGTTAGGTGTCGATATGATGTCATTCCCTCCCAGGACATAATAAAAGGAGAGGAAGCCTCATAAATAAGTTCTCTGTTCTGAGGCAGGAACATTTTCCTAGTCAGTCTTCCAGTGTGGTGTCTAGCAGTGATTCTGAGGTGTTTAAGAAATAAAGGCCCGGGTCAGCAGAGCAGAGCTTCTCTGTGCCACTGGGAGAACCTGCCGGCCAACCAGCCGGCTCGCTGGTGCGCCAGCCTCCTGCCCTGCAGCAGGCCGTCCTCCACCTCTGGGTGCTCCTGTGGGTCCAACTACTTTCACTGCTAATCCAGATCAAGGATCTGCTCACCAACAATGTCCATGGCTGCAGAGGCCTTGATAGAGCTCCCTGCAGAGTCCACAAACATGTGGGGTATGTCATTCCCAAAGTAGATTTTGCTGTTGGCTGCGATGGCCTTGTACTTCATTAGCTCCAGGTACTCTGGTGTTAACTTCACCTGGAAGAGAAGCAACAGAATTTGATTTATGAGCAGAATGGACTCTCCAGTTCTTAAGGTACGATGAGTACTTGTGTTGTCTCTTTACCTTGTTGGCCTCAGCGGTTCTCTGTGCTGTGTAAAACTCAGCATCTGCCTTGGCCCTCTGCCGGGCCAGGAAAGCACTGTCTGTCAGTCACAAACAAACACTGTCAAGAGTCAACAGTGGGACGACGGGTAGTAAAAGTCTACTCTGCTTTTCTGCTCAGACAGCAGGAAGCTGGCTTGAGTCCTGAGACGTAAACATGGATTTGACCAAAACAGCTAGTTCCCACAGTCCAACAGCAAAGCAAAACTCTTAGAACTATTTCTGACTGTCTACTCATGAAAACAGCTTTCCATTTAAAACACAATAATCTTTAATGCACTGACTCACATCTTAATAAAATGTTGATGTTTGGTTCTTTCTTTTAAGGAAATCACACCCAGTGAACAGTCATGGGTGAAAAAACATGTGGAGCTGATAACATCGGTGATAGCTCATATCAGTGAGTCAGCAGGTGGAATGGAAGAACTACCATATCTACTATTCAGAATTTTATAGGATATGTGATACCTTTCCTGTAAAGACACGCCCATGGTAGGGACAAAGTTTAATTGTGACCCATCTGCACAAAATCATTCGCATTGCGCCTGACGGTATTTGACAGTGATATGGAGCTCTATAATATTATATGTTACCTACATGTAGAAAACAACTAAATGGACCGATCTAAGTAATAAACCCAAAGTCAATATTTTATCATGTGTTAAGGTAATTTGGTACAATGCGACTGATTTTGTGCAGATGGGTCACAATTATGCTTTCGTCTACACTGAGTCTGAGTTAAAGACTAAGACTTCCAGTGATAGCAACATCGCTGAAAAATGATTAAAAACACTTACCGTACAGTAATATATCCTTATATACTACATAGTGTATATTACACTTATGTGCAATGTCATATTTTATTTATCTTTTTATTTTAAATCATAGTCTCCATTATATGGATCTATAGTGGATATAGTGTGTGTACAGCTCTACTGTAGTGCATTTCTCAGCTCTTCCTATTTATAGTTTATTTGTTCTCCTTTTCTTCCTGTCACTTCTTTGTACTCTTTCTTGTATCCATACTGCTGCAACAAGTGAGTTTCCCCACTGGTGGTGAAAAATAAAGTGCAGTCTAATCTAGTCTTTTTTTATATTATCTGACAACTGTGGTTGCTTTAATATTGAAGAATTACAGCTAAATAGAGTCCACATTGTTACACGATCTTTCTTATTATGTTAGCATCTGTGTCATGATTTAATGAAAAACACACTGAAAGAACTTTCTTTGCTAGCTTTTCCTGAGGACAGCTTAGAGCTGTCGCTTTTCTTATGTCTCTACCACTAGATACAAACCTTCAATTTCAGAGATCTTTTTTTCTGTTTCCTTCTCCATGACTTTCTGTCCAAACTTGATCTCTGCCACTTGCGCCACTTTCTCGGCCTCTACAAAACAAAGAAGCACAGTTCAGTTTCATCCTTTCCAGTGCGACCATGTAACACGAGTGTTTTATTTTTCCTCACCTATCACAGCTTTAATCCTTTCTGTCTCTGCCTCCTTTTCCACAACCTTCTGTGTCTGTTGAGAGATCAGCAGCTTTGTCTTCTCGCTCTCCCTGCAAACATTCATACGCACTTTTACATATAACAAAGAACATGATGTGGTGTTTGCTGCCATATGCATGTAGGCCTGGGCTTTGACAGCACCTTTCTTTTTCTGTTTCTGATTTCTGATTTTGACATTTCGCCACAGTGTAGAACTGTAGGTAATTCTCCCAAGAAATTCACCTTTCTTTTAAAAAAAAAACCAAAACAACTTACTTACGGAAAATATGATTTACAGACAAGGCATGAGACAGCGGTCAACCAATGGCTGCTTTACCAGTGAGTCAAACTTTTTGGAATTGCATATCTGCGTGTAAAGACAGACATTGGGACTGGGCCTGCTGCAGTGCCAAACTCTCAGTCCAGCAACTGAACCCTGTGTCATCATGGAAATGAGGCCCAAAATGCTCAATCTCCGCTCTAAATCTTGGATTTCACCTTTAGCCTCAGTGAAAGTAATCCTATTACCAAACAAAATACATCAGGCAGACAGTAATGGCTGTTTATCTCCCTGCTAATCTCTCCTAATTAAAAACCGCTGCCTAAAAACAAAATTTAATTTCCCCCGAACAACCTGGGGCTTATTTTTATAGCCTGGACCATATTTTGTAACTGTTCATTTAAAATTTGACTTGTTTATGTCACTTTCCAGTCCAGAGGAAGCCACACCAACACCCAGATTGCCATACAAGAGCATCGTGTTCTGAACCAGTTGTAAAAAAGTGAAACCAAAAGTATGATTGAAAGTCTGTGTTCCCAGTGAACATCATAATTCCATTTGTCAACAATTACAGCGATGGCAGTAGATTAAAGCTGAGTCAAGACGTAGCTCTGAGAAAGTCAATGCTGGAAGTTGGAAGAAAATAAAAGAGTGCACATCAGGAACTGTTCACAACCCATGAGTGCCTGTGTTGGACGTATATACAGTATATCACTGCCTCTCCACAGCTCTGCAGATACACTCCTGAGTAAATGTTACCATAACCCACAGGCAAATAAAAATGAAGACATAGCAAAAAAATGAGTACCATAAACTATAAAGCCACAGACTTCAATGTATGCACGACTGTGTTTAGAAAAAGGCGGAATAACAGTTTACCACAAGAGACAAAATGCCATTGAGATCTGTTGAGAGATATATATATATATATATATATATATATATATATAATTTTATTTATTTATTTTTTCCAACACTCAGTTTTTGATTTTATATTGAGTTTTTTACAATACTAAAAGCATTCCTACAAAGTGAATGCTCTGTGTTTTAACAAAAGCTGTTTTAAGCTCGTGTTAAATATTGACATTGTACATTTTGGCCCTAAAGAATTATTTATGGGTGAATCTGTGAATTACAGTAGAGGAGAAGTTTATTAAGGTGTCTGTGGATGTAGAATTTCCTCATAGTATTACACAGACACAATTTACTTAGTGAAGAGAGAGACTGTAAAAGCTGTGTATTATTACAGACCAAACCTACTTCCCAGTAAGAGGGACAGGTATGGTTTCTAACTAAGGGAAACTGGGGGCGTACACTGCAGGTTTATGCATGATGTAGCTTGCTGTGGTATCAGTGTGCACATGAGTCTCTCTTGTCTCCTTTTGTTTTAGACTTGGGACATTACAATGAGTATTCATGCATCCTGCTGCACCATGAAATAAATTCCAGTGTGAGTAACAGACACCAGTTAATAAATACTATGATAGACTGGGACACGTTGCTGATTTGATAATATCTATCGACAGAGCTCCGGTCAGAGAGATGGGCACGCAGAGTTACTTTCCAAGCAACTTTTAACACTGAAGTTGGTTTGCAGTAATGGATGGATTAGGATGAATGATGGTGCGTATGTGTGTGTTTGTCACTTATGCATGCACACAGCGGAACATAAAGCAAAAAGACTTTCCGACAAATACACATGGTGCTAACAGTCATTTGACAATGTATGTGCCTGACGTGAAAACCTCCACTTCCCACAGCTGCACCATTCCTCAATCTGACTGTAACTAACTGTAAGTCTTTTCAGTCTTTTTATGCCAGTGACTGTGACTAAGCACATCCATGAAGGCTGAGTTAGACACTCACAGACTGACATGAAACAGCAGCTTTCCTTCTCAACACATCTTGGCAGGGGGACTTGGATGCACATCAAGTCCATCCATTTGGGAGGGAAAGTAAATCCACAATACAGGCTTTAAATGATCGGGAACGGGGCATGGAAAAAAAGAAAACTCACATGAGTTCGTAGTTCCTCCGAATGCTCTCTGGGATGTTGGGTTTGGTGACACGGACTGCCTGTTGACCCATGAGACAGAGAAACATTCAAGAACCAGACAGCAGGAGTGAAACACGAAACATGACTATAAAAAGAGGTTTTCACCACCCGGGGTGCTGTTAAAGAAAACAGGCAGTTGGAGAGGAGCCCAGAGAAAAACATTGTCCTGTTAACAACCCTCTGAATTGACAGCCCACTGGTTAATCTGAAAAAGCCGTAATTGTTATTTCAACCTTTTCTGGACATTTACGAGAAACACAAAGAGCTCAGTGAAGCATTTCTCAGGCACCAAATGAGTGTATTTCTGTGGGTTTAGAGAGGGGCTCGAAGGGAAAGAACACTCAGGATGCACTCATAGTGTTGCACAATATACAGTTTTCCTGATGAAACATCCACTTTTTTCATATAACAAATGGTCCAGGAGAGAGGCTTAATAGTGGCTGGGAAATGTGTGCAGACTGGATCCACGACTGTGTACTGGGTTTCATTAGTTCACTGTTACTATTTACAGCTTCAGCATCCTGGATCTGCATTGCAGTTCAGTGTGGTTTAGGTATCCCTCCAAAGAAAGACAACAAGAAGACAAATGCAGAGCAAACCTCCTTAGTAAAGATGAACACAAAAATTGTCAAGTCAGAACGTGTGGATTTATCACAAAAGGTCTCAGTCAGTGACCTTGAAGGAGAAAATTCTCTCTTTTGATTTTAATGGTGAGATAATATCTATTCATGGTTACCCTGCATAGCTGGAGTAACTCGCAAGCTGCCTTATCTCCTCCTTCAGTTTGTGACTACCTACATTATCCAAAATGTGGCTGCATTGTATTTTGTTTTCTGGTGTGGCAGAAAATTGTATAACTACCCAGGGCTATGGCGTACAACCATTCTGCAGACAGATTCGACGGAAAAACTGACATTTAGACATCTTGTGTCACTCCATTGTAACTTCTGGTCACACACCTGTCTGCTGTGCAACAACAACTGAGTGGAAATTTGAGGTTTCTCTGCGCTCAGCCGCATAGTAGCATCTACTGGTGCATGTGAGGCATTTAGGAGACATTGGTAAACTATAGCTTCAACCGGAGGTACGCTTTCCTGATCTAAACAGCATGATGCATGCTTGCTGCTGAGCCACCGAAAACCACAAGTGAATTCACAACCTGTAGGAAAACCTGAGATATGATATAACAGCAAAGGAGAACGATGTCTCCAAGAAACATGTCTTTTGTCATGACCAGCAGAGCAGTCTCCCTCCCTGCAGAGTTTCAGTGCCATGCAGCAACAAACCAAAGTAGTAAGGAGTCTGCAACAAGTGATGATAATAAAGCCAAGGAGGAGCTACATTTCACGAACTTTAAGTCTCAGATCATTCTGATAAGAAATGAAAAAATAAATAAATAAATTATATGATGAAAAACAGCGTGCACCCAAATTATGAGCTGGTAAAAAAGTTAGGGGCATCACTGCAATCAACGTAAAAAGCTGGTGTGGAGCTCCGCTGCCTCTTGTTCATCCCCCAGAAGTGTTATATTATCTCTGTTGCACCCACTAATGGAACAGTTTGACATTTTGTGAAACACATTCCATAGCTTTCTTGGCAAGATTTAAATGAAAAAATGGATATCACTCTCATATCTGTTGAGGAGAAAGTTGATTTAGCTTAGCATGAAAAAAAAACAAACAAAAAAAAGCAGGGTCAAACATCTTCCCTGGCTGTTTCCTGAGGGGTGTACTGGTTCTCTGGCAGGTTCATTTAAACAACAAGGCACTGCGCCAGCCTACACAGAACAACAGTTTGCTTTTTGCATAGATTAGTCAGACAAATTATATCGTATCATTCTTAACTTTTCCTAGGTGGGGGTTGGTAGTGCAAAGCCAGCACATCAACAATGACTAATTTAACATAGCTCAGGGATCCAGGGTCAGTCCTTCTTTACATTTTAGGTACACTCCTTTAACCACATGATCTTAAGAGCATAACCTCGTTAGCGTTGGTTTAAGCCAAACTGGATGCTAGATGTGACAAAACTTCATCTTGTCTGCAGCCTCTCCAGCAGTCCTACTGTACCTGTATGATAAGTCCAGGTGCCATGGATGTTAGATCTTCTTGTAGCGTCAACTTCAGGTTTTCATCGATTTGGTCTGTGGGGGGAACAACACAAAAAAAAAAAATTGGGTGAGCTGACAGGTACAAAAAAGTCTCTTTGATGTTAAGCTCTCTAAACGTGCAGAGTCTCAAACTGAGTCTTTTTCAGACATTGTCCCCTAATCTCATAGTTTATTAGACCGTGTATTCTGCATGCAGTGTACAGTAAAGACAGTAAGGTAGGACTTGTATTACTTCCTAACTGTTCACATGCTGTGTGTGAAGGGTTTTCCTGGATTTTTAAGTTATTAATCCATGCAGCTGGCAAGAATACATATTTTTAATATCCTCCCAGAATTGTACAAATGCTTTTATTACCTGCTTTTTTGTGACACACCACACAACCAGGTACAATCTTATAAAATTTACATTCTCACGTCAGCATAGGTTTTAGACTACTGTTCAGCCACGCTGCTTGGGCAATGATATGGTGATGCTTGTTTAGCTTCCTTCCAGCTGTACAAAAGTCTCCCTCTAAAGTTCCCGTAGACAGTTTGTTTTAACATTTGTATGAGGAACATTCTTCTCTATGTTTTCCTTCATGGTGTCCTGTTTGTTTTTTTTTTTTTTTTGCTGTTTTTTGGATATAACACAATTAGACTGATTGGATACATTTTGAAAATGCCAAAAAATAAATTTGGGTTAAACAATCCCTTTTAACAGCTTCTTGAGTCATGAAATCAACATGTTATCAATACATTTACAGTGTCCATAAAAAGCATTCACCAACCTTGGAAGTTTTCCCCTTTCATTGTTTGTGTTTGCACAAATATTCATCACCTTTAAGTCAGTATTTAGTAGATGCTCCTTTGGCTGCAATTACAGCATTGAGCCTGTGTGGAGAGGTCTCAGTTAACCTTGCACATCTGGACACTACAGTTTTACCCCATTCTTGTTTGCAAAACTGCTTTGGTGTTCGCCAAAAATACCATCAACATGGCCAAAAAGTTCAATTTATGGTGTCATCAGACCAAAGAACCG